GCAGGATTGCTTGCTTGCCTTCTGTAGGATTTAGTGACCACAGGCTTCTGAGACCTGTCTTATTCTTTTTAAGAATCCTATGATTCTACTTCATTGACCCGAGGTGATCTGCTTTGGGCACCCTTACCCTAATCATGTCTGCAAAGCCTTTTGCCACTTTTTGTCACAGGCCTAGGGAATTCGGGTGTGAATGTTTTGGGTAGGGCCAGTATTCTTACTGATCTAATGCACAGAGCTCTTGGAATGTTGGTTGTTCTTGAAGAAGGAAACTAGATGACTGGAAGTCAAGTATGGAAGAAAGACGTTTTATTTCATTGATTATTATGATTATTAAAAATACTTCCTAGCCTTGAGCTCCTAGGCTCAAGTGATCCTCTTACTTTAGCTGTATGAGTGGATGGGATAACAAGCATGAGCCACCTACCTAGTTCCTACTGATTGATTGATTGATTAATTGATTAGGACAAGGTCTTGATATGTAGCCCTGACTGACCTAGAACTCGCTATGTAAACTAGGTAGTATCAAATTCAGAGATTAAAGGCCTGCACCATACCTGGCCCTTTTAACCATTTTGCATATCCTTATTTGCAAAATGTATTCTTCACACGGTATTTTGTTTGCTTTTGGTTTTTGAGACAGGGTCTCTCAATGCAGTCCTGGCTTTCCTGGAATTCACTATGTAGCTCTGGCTGGCATCAAACTCACAGAGATCCAGTCTCCTGCACCAGCATGCCTGGCTTCTTCATGACATTTTAAAAACCCTTTGTCGTGTATTTAATATTCACAGGTCTCTTCGGAATTCTAGTTGACCATTCAGGTTTGGTTGAGCATCAGTGTTGTCTTCCCAGAGTTTGCTATTTCTTTATTTCCACTGCTTGAGTTCAGTCTGTACCATCGGCTGAGGACTTCTAGTGCTCTGTTTCACAGTCTGCTGTGAATAGTTAGCCTCCTCGTCAACATTGTCCGCTAGCTCTTTCTGTGGTGGTGGAATTGTCCATCTTCTTGGTCAGCAGGTAGCCACTAAACCATTTGTGACTGCTGAGTATTAGAAATGTGGCTAGTGTAGCCAGGAGACTGACTTTTCCATTTTGGTTACTCTCTTGATTACATTTGAACTAGTCACATGTACTTAGCGGCCACTGTATTAGACATACAGCTTCGAAAGGGAGTGCACTGATCTGGGAGGTAGATAACTTCCAGTCCCTCTCGGAGGCCAAGCTTCAAGCTTCATACTCAGCTGGATCCTGCTCCACAGGGAGAACAGGTCATGAGAACCACTAGAGGAGGGTTAGCATGCCTGGTATTCTAGCATCTCATCGCAGCCTTAATGCTTCTGAATTCCTTCTAATTTTTTTCCCCTTTTTGTTTTCTTTTGAAAGAAGGTTCTAGGCCTCGCTTTGTAGCCCAGGCTAGTCTCGGAGTCTTAGTGCTTTCATGTCTAGCCCCTGGCTCTGGGGTCACATGTGTGACCATCATGACTGACTTTTCTGATTTTTTTCTAAGCGAGTCTTGAGGTTTTTTTCCATGAGAACGATACCGAGCTCCTCCACTCCCATGGCTGGAAAGGAATGCTTCCTGGAATCTCTTCTGATGGATACATTTAATATCTCAGAGCACACCTTCATCCACCATCCCTCATCTGTCCCACACCCATCTTCCAGTTTTAATGTTACTTTGTGGACTCAGGAAGTACCCAAGAAAGCTAACTAGAACAAACCTCACCTCTTCCTTTTGCTGTCTTCTCAGCTCTGGGGGTTTTGAGTTACCTTCCTCCCTTATATTGACAGGCCTAACAGAAACTGGAGTATAACTCCCAGAGAGGGCTCTGGGACTGCGGTCCTAGTGCCCATTGGCAGAGATGTGGATTTGGACTTAAACCAGGAGCTCTTGAATCTTCCATGGTATCTGCATCTGTTGGTTCATCCTCATGTACCTCACCTTCTGATATCTGCAGCTTCTGTGCCTGTAGAGGATGAGGAGCTTAGGGAAATGGGGACAGACCGACTCCCAGACCACCTTCTTCCCATTGGGCATATAGTCAGGTATCCCAGGTCCTCACTTTGGCTGTTCTCCTGCGAGCTCCAGCTTTGTGTGAACCACACAACTGCTCGGTTTCAGCGTCCTGTTCTGATCAGCAGCTTAGCTCAGATGCTCATCCCCTCTAGCTTTTAGCTGCCCCTCAGAGGCGTGCCCAGTGGCTGTAAACAGCAATGCTATTGGAAGGGTGGTCATACTTGGGAAGGGTGATGTTCTTGGTGCCAAGGCAACAAGCGCTAGATCCCATCCTGTTTAAGGAAGGGAAGGTGCACGCTGGAGACCCCACACCAAATAAGTGCTGCTTCTGTGGGTGGTTCCTGAATGACCACCTGTGATCCCCGGGTGTCTGTGCAGCGGGAAGTGTGGCTTTGTGCCTGCCTGATTTATAACAGGGCTCCGCATGCCAAGTGGACTACAGCAATGTCATCACATAGACATCCCCACTTTCCTGTGAGTAACCTTTTCCCCCCTCTGGAGTTTAACTCTGATCCCTTTCTCTTTCACAAGCACGCATTCTAGGTCCAGCGTGAGGCTGTGCATAGACACTGTCTCATGATCCAGTTAATCTCCCTGTACTCACAGATCCTGACTGTAATTTGAAGGCCACCCTCCCCCCTTTTCTTCTCATTGTCACTTACAGGAATTGCTGAATGACTCATTATGCCACAGTCAGCCCTCTCGGGCTCTTTGTCACAAAGGGCCTGCCCAGCCAGATTAAAGTGTGCAGCCGCTGCAGAGGCCCAGTCAGCAAGTTGTCTGTGGCTCCGGCAGAGAGCTCTGAAGGGAGCCTGGCATGACGGCTCAGGCTGTGTGTTCTGGGTGGAGTCTGCTTTGTGTACTGTGCTAGGCTGGTGCTTTGCAGGGAGAGGTGTAGTGAACCTGGTAGGCTGAGAGCATATATGGGTGGCAGCCTCGGTACGTGAGAGTCAGCAGAAAGGCCCGGGACTCCTGCGGAAGGGTGCACACCTCTCTGGAACTTACGCAGAGCAATCCAGAGTCTGAGTCCACTGTACTGAGAGGCAGTGGAGGATGTGTTTGAAGTGTGGGCGTGGGTCATTCATTTACCAGTTAAATGGCATCTAGTACACAGCATCCTGGAGCTCTAAGGAGAGTGCTGGAACAGCCCAAGTGCCTTCTTTCTCTTAGCAGAGAAGGCAGCTCAGGTCAGCTCTGAATGTGTTCCTCCGGTGTTGTGGAAGGATCTGAGGGCCTACTCAGTGTGCTGGGGACTATCAATTAGTGACACCCCCCATAGGCAGTGTACCACAGCATCTGTCATTGCTGGGGCTCGGTGCAGGGCTTAGAGACCAGATCCTCAGCTGACACAGGGAAGGCAGGCCAGGATTCAGGCCGTGATGACTCACTGTCATCTCCAGCTCCTTTCCCTTCCTTCCTGGGTGTAGATGAAAAGCAGGGATGATAATGGCCAGCTCTGGGCAGTGCTGAGAGCAGTGGCTGACACTCGGGCACATTGACTCAGTTCAGTGACCTAAAGTTTCATAAGATGGGAGTGACCTCTATTCTGAAGTTATGTAACTTGGGTAGTCTATCGTGGGAGCACTTCGGCTCTTACTGTGAGTCTGAGCTTGCAGGGATCTGTGGATGCAGAAGAATCATCAGCTCATGGGAGGAGGAGTGTGTGCTTGAGAAGCTCTGAAAGCCACATCAGAGGACATAACATCAGATACATCCGAACATCATAAAATATGTATGTCTTCCTCTTGTCAAAGGAAAAGGGTCGTCTTGGCTGTGCGTCAGTGTGTGCCTTGTGGCAGCTGACCCTTGTCAGTGGAGCAGTGAGAAGCAGTCTAGTGTGGTATCCAGTGGACACACACTCTTTCTGCTAGACATTTGGAAGGAAGCGTTCAGGTGTACTTCTGCCTGGACCTGCTTTCAGGAGACTTCTGCCAGTGCTAAGGAACTGTAAAGGTAGCCAGCATTACCCAGATGCCACTGAGCTGACTGAGCTGGTGGTTCCTCATCCTTTATCTTGTAAGCATTGTGGGCTGTTGAGTGGAGCTCCCCACGCCCAGAGAGCTCATATAGGATGCCTGCTTCCTACCTCATGGCTTTTCATTTTAGAGCCTTAAGTAAGCACCCATTACATGTTGGTATTATAGATATATAAAGATACACAGATGCTTTCTGCTCTGTGTATGTAAATACGTATGCATGTATTTAAGACTAGAAAACAAACTACGTGTGTGTGCACACCTATGAGGGGAGCACAGAGATGTGTGCAGCAAGGGCCTTGCTACTTCCTGCACAGCTAGAAACACAACAGAGACTTGCACTCACTGTAGTAATTGCAGGCTCTGAGGGGGCTCAGTGGCTCCTAGAGCAGCTCAGAAAAACACACTGCAGGTGGGGGATAGAAAGGGCTGTGAGGCCAGGGGTGCACAGTTGCAGACGCGAGGCTAACACAGATAACAGCATACAGCGTTAGAAAATGACAGGGAGGCCCAGTGGGATGGCTCAGTGGAATAGCACTTGCCAAGTGAAGCCAAAGCCCACTTTAATAGCCAGAACCCAGAAGGGACAGAAGGAGAGAACTGACTCCCAAAAATTGTCCTCTATTTTCTACATGCACCAGATAACACACATGTGTCTATACCCACACCACTCACACAAAACACACACACACACACACACAAATAAAATAGAATTTTCAAAAAATGAAAATGCCAAGCAGCATGAGGCTAGGATGTAGTGTGTCTTGGGAAGTCGGGTGTGGGAGCTCTTGCAGGGCTCTGAATAGGAATGACAGCGTTACTGGGGAGTAAGATGGAGTAAAGGTGAAACAGTAAAAGTGGAGAGGAGGGAGGAGGAGAGGCAGCTGGAGCCCTGCCCTCAGCACATGCAGAGCCCCCGAGACAGGCATTGAAGGATATCTACAGACACTGTCTGCCTCAGAGAGCATAGGTCTCCTTATCAACCCGTTGTCTCTTCTTGTGTTTTGTAGATTCGGCCAGTTATTGAACAAACCTTCCCCTTTTCTGAAGTCCCAGAAGCCTTCCTGAAGGTGGAAAGAGGCCACGCCCGGGGAAAGACTGTGGTTAACGTTATTTAAATAAACATGTGCTTGCCAGGGGTTGCTGCTGTCTCCTCACTGAGTGCCTGTGATCCAGACATCTAGCCCCCGATCGATATTTTTCCAAGTTAGATTTTAAGTTTGATGATGTGTTTCTAAACCTTATGTAAGGGCCGGTGAGGCAGCGCAGCAGGGAGAGGTGCTAACAGTGCAAGCCTTCTCCCTCACGCCCTGGGACCCGCATGAAGGAGGGGGAGAGGAAAGAAGCGGCTCCACAGAATTGCTTTCTGACCCCCTCCCCACTCCACGCATGTCCCTCTGCAATGATAATGAAAATAAATGTTTGTTTTTCTGTCGTGTGTATGTGTGTGGGCACATGTGCAATGGCACGCTACCGTTCAGTGCTCGGTTCTTTCCTTCTGCCGTGTAGCTTCTGTGCACAGCACTCCAGTCCTTAGGCTTGGTGGCAGGTACCTTTACTTGAGTGCACCGTGAGCGCTCCTAAAGGTAGCTAAGAAGTGCCTGCAGTTAACCCACGACTCTCAGCTGTGTTAGAGGACCGCTAAATTGATTCCAGGATTTTATCACATGGCTAGCCAGGAATAAGTTTATTCAAGAGGTAAAATCAAACAGGCTTTTGATAGGATATGTTACCCCACCATACTCTAGCATCACACACAAAAGGCCTATAGTCAGAGATGTACATCTAAGAAGACAGACATGCTAAATGCTATTTTTTGTGCACATGTTGCTTAAGCTGCAGAGAAACTATTCAGATGAGCACACTTGCCTGCTGTTGGCTCCAAACAGGCTCAAGCAGGTGAAGCGGAAGTGGACAAGAGCACCAATATTGTGATAAGAACAAAATGAGGAAGACGTTCAAAGAAAATGTCTGGCAGTTTTGCTCAAAAGGACAATGTGCTGTTTGAGCAGCAGAGTCTGGGCCAGTCCATCAGGGCAGTTGTTCCCGAACTGCCTGCAGAGTTCTGGGTCTCTGCACTAGCACTGCACAGAGCCCTCGGGATCTCTCCCTCACTCGCTAGAAAAGTAACCCTCACCTGCGCTACCACATCTGCTTTCAGAAGGGAGGTCCCAGTGTCTTCAGATCCGTAGCAGTCCTGCTGGTGGCCCTGGGACCACCAGGCTGAAAGCTCAAGGTTTAGCCAAAATTATAGAATATGGCTCCCACATTCTAGGTAGGTGACAAAGTCAGGGTTAATAAATTAGGCCATAATACTGTCCCCATAGCAGCTGTAGGGAAGGCAATAAACTATGTGTGACACTCGAGGATAGCCCACGAGAGAACTAAAATAATCCCAGTTCTGCTCATGAGCTGACATCAACATGAACATTTGCAAATTTATTCATTTTGAACATTAATTGAAAATAGTGTTTTGTTTATACTCGCTAAACTCCTTGGAACATGTCTGAGTATATAGGAGTTTCCCACTCTGCCATCCAGCAGTAAATGTTAAGGCAGTGGATCAGAAGTCTGGCAAAGCAGCCTCCCATGCTAAGTCTTCTGACGAGCAATCTGAGGGAATCCGGGTGTCAACACTCAGAGGTCTTGTCTCTGGAAATAAGTTACAACGTGGTCTTGATCTTTAGAACATCTACACCCAAAACCTGTTTAAGGAGTTACTGAGAAAACCCAAGGCAAGAAACAAGAACAGCAAACTATTGGCTTCAAATTCAAACGACTTTGAAAAGATAATTTCCCTGTCGTAGCCTTTGGTCCACTTTCCACTTGGCTCCTCCATCAGTGCATCAGCTCTGTAATTTTATTTTTCTTCAGTACGGTGGCCAGAAGATCTGGAAACACTCCTGCATTCTTGGTTCAGGGTCACAGGACCATGGCTTCCCACACTTGTGTTAACTTCTCTGTGTTTACTGTGTTGAGGATGATGTGGTTTTGATCGTACTGCGCACCTCCTGGATGAGAGAAAAAAGTAAGAACTGTGCCGGGGAGAAGCGAGGAAGTATGCCAACGCATGGAAGAATGAGAGAGAACCCGGAACAAAAGTGCTGTAGAGAAGTTCTGGTATCCAGGGGACGAGGTCAGCTTGCTGGGGTGTGTGGGTAAAGTCCATCTGGGGGACCAGCATCTTCACACAGCCCATCTTGCCTCTGGCTCCCCCTTTTCTACCCAGCTCTAATAGGCCACTCTACTGTTATCACATCTGAAATGGGGGCATCAGGGAAAAGCAACGATGCTGTACAGATGTACTTGGGGAGATCATGGATGTGAGATCGTTGTGAACAGGCAGGCACACATGATGCCAGTGCAGAGAAAGGCTGCGGGAGAGGCAGACAGAGGCAATGAGTTCTGCTCCATAATGAAAATAGCTGCCACTAGGCTACAGGTTTGAATGACACCCGGATGCATGTACAGGACACAGAAGACTCCCACTGCTCAGAACTTGGGTGTGTGAAATAACGTGGGATACCGCTGTAAGAACCCTGTACTTCTCTCATCAGGATGTTTGAGGGGCCTTTCCAAGGGTACTTGGTGAAAACAGGAGGTTCTTTAGTGTTAGAAGCAGCAGTACCCTCTTTCAGCAGAAATATCATTAAAACAGAAAGGGTTGTCTGATCTGCTTTATCTGCTTCAGCAGAAGCGTCTCCACCAAGGACCTCTTTGAAATGAATATGGGTGCTGGGTACAGCTGGTCCCAAAATCATGTTTCATCCTCAAAGCAAAGAAACAAGATTCTCTTCTCCTTTGAAACATTTAGAACATGAAAAGGGTCTGAAAGAGTAGCTGGGGAAGGAGCTCATCTCTTCATTCTTTAAGGAACGGGCTTCCTGTCACTCAGCACCCATAGTGCTCAGTAGCTAGGAGTCATGCAGAGCACAGGGAACTGGAGGACTTCCAAGCCTCCCAATCAGCTCCCAGCAAACCCTGCACTCTCCATCAAGATAGCTGTGGTTGAAGAGATGGCTCAGCAGTTAAGAGCACTTCTTATTCTTGCAGAGGACCTGGGTTCAATTCCCAGCACCATCGGGGTGGCTCAAAAATCATCCACAACTCCTGTTCCAGAGAGTCCAGTGCCCTCTTCTGACCTTGGAGGACACTGGGCACTCATAAGGTGCACAGGCATACATACGAGTAAAACAGTCATACATATTAATAAATCTAAAAAAGGGATTAAAAAAACTCCAACTGATCCAAGAGTTCAGAGAGTATTAAAGACAATGTCTGTTTTCATTTTCAGGATTCTGTTGCCTTAACATCCTTTCCGTGTTTACCCAGTGCCATTAGAACCATGAAACCTACAAAGTTCTTGTGAAATAATGTGACTAATTCTTTTGACTTTGAGAAGAATTTAAAACATGCTAGGCTATTTTTTTTTTCTTTTAGAAAACATTTCTGTTTGAATGATGCAGAAGGCAGGTGAATATTTAAATGGCTGTAAAAGCAAAACCCTTCTCTTTGCCATGTGTTTAGAGATGGCTAGGAAGACGGCGCTTCCCTGAAGGCCAGGTCTCTGGTGTGCAAGTGATGTAAGCCAGGTCACCCCTTCCGGTGGCAGTCCTGACACCCATGTCACCTGTGTATTCTGAGGTAACATCCACACCTGCCCGTCTGTCTGAGAAGGGTACCATTGCCACAGGTATATTTGAGTTCTTGGTGCACAGAACTGAGGAGTAATTTGAAAGAAATTTTACATCCTAATTAAAATAAATCACTGGTATTCCCTTAAATGGCAGCTTATAGTAGAAAGATGCAGTCGGGAGGCTTGTAACCCCACACGGGGCTGAGGCAGAAAGATTACAGACTTAAGGCCAGCAAAGGACAAAGAAAAGACAGAACCTGGGGTTATCCTTTTTTTTCTGGTTCACTTTTAGTTTCTATGCTTTCCATAGTAGTTTGATTTGCCTGTTCAGTGTGCAATCCTACCAGGCTTTTGATGTCTTTAAATTGAGCATGAATCAGCTTCCACTGTTGTCACAGGACACCCGGTCTGGAATCATCCTAAAACAACTCTCTCCCCAAACACAAGGCAAGAAGAAAGACTCATCTAGTAAGTCCTGTAGTTTTAGTAGGTAACAAATGAAAACCACAGGCGCCTACTAAGTACAGAAGCGCGGAGAGCTGTGTCTGCACTTCTCTTGCCAACGTGCTGGCCGTGCAGCCCGCTCTCCTGTCCAGGAGGTGGCACCATGCTTCCACATTCTGAGAAACCAAGTTCATGGGAGCAGGAAAACAACTATTGCATTGTTGCAGTAAGCACTGAGAACACACAGACCTACGGGCCAGTACCCGCACGCCAGAAGGTGGGACTGACATCTGTGAACGCTAGAGTAAAACTCTAGAGAGGAGTCCCATGGAGAACAGAGCCAGCCATTTTCCTCACTGTGATACCCAGTGTCTAACACAGAGCCTAAGACTAAAGATTGAAGACTAAAATAAATGCCCTAAGGACTACAGTGACCTCAGCTCTGGACCTAGGACGTTAATCCCATCAGAGAAGCACCAGTGCTCAGCTGCATTGGGGGAACTGAACATTGTGATTCCCCTCCTCTCCCCGTAACATTTACCCAAATACCCCATCTTTCCAATGGGGAGGTACGATTAGGAATTGAAGCAAGCATTCTGTTGCCAAGCTAGAATCCCAGCCTCGCTGGAGGTTTTGAAACTTATCTTGTGCAGGCAGCATGAAAGGCCCTAGAAGAGTAAATAAAGGCCACTCTGGGTCAGAGGTTCTCAAATGGTTCAAGCTTGGAGTCATCCAGGAGATGGATGTGTACATCTTGTCTGTGTACAGATGCAGTGTAGGAGGCATGGTCTCTAGCGCTGGTCATTTCTCATACCCAAGGGTTCCACTGAGTTTTATGTGCAATTCCTACGCAATCAGTAGTCACATCGCTTAAGTTTTGATGCTCTCTGCTTCTGCCTTCCTTCAGTCTGTTCGCTCGCCTCTCTGAGCGCCATTAGGCCCCTTGGGTTCTTTGTGTCTGTTCTGACTGATTAGTGGGCCGCCACCCCTACCTACCTGAACCACCAGGGCTGCAAAGCCCCTGCTTTCTGTGCAGTTACCAGCGCCCCCGGTGTTATCACC